TACACCGGTCCTAGTTTTTATACAGTGTTTGTATCAATGCATTTTTAAACAATTAGATTCACTAAAGGAGAGAATTAAAAAAAAACAGAAAAAAGAAAAATAAATAACAACGTCAAAACAGTCAATTTAAAATTGGAGCAACAGAATAGTTTGCAATCAAGAGTAAAGACAAAATTATATAAATTTATAAAGTGTCTGCACTCTTTACAATGAACCTTACCTTGGCAAAGTATTTTTGCTAAGAATATGATGCTTATGTTATGTTTATTTATTTTATTTCTCTTGCCTTTTTTCTACTAGGTTGGGGCCAGCAATGTGTCATCGGGATATCATAAGTATTGTACATGGAACGACTGCCAATAGTCATTAATTAACTAAATTTATTTGTGGTGTCACTCTGTCCATAATATATACCATATTTGCGTATGTATCATTCGCATTCATACCGTATGCTTTAGGCCGCACGAAAAACTTGTAAGGGTGATTCATTTTAAGAAAGTTTCAATTTAGTTCATTGATTTTATTTGTTTGTGAAAGCCCCACATAACATAAAAGAAAATTATAGCCTTTTGTCCATGTTTAAAAATAATCTAATTGCTAGCTTATTATCATTGAACATTTTGAAATCGTAAAAAAATAATATCTACTTAGGTTCTATTCTGTCTGCGCTGATATAGTTGGCTCTTGGCATCGAAGCGCTACGTTTATTATTTCAACAAACTAGTATGAGAAATCTTGTGTAAAAAAGATTTCCGATTATCATGAGTATCTTCTACCTTCTGTGATTATAATATTAAAGCTTATTTTATTGTGTTACGTAAAAACCAAAATCTGTAGTGGAGCTATGTTCCGTGTTTTGTGAATGTTCGAAATTCACCATTGTAGGTAGGTACATACATACAGACAATATGATTTTCTCACCTTTTGGTTTTGCAATACTTCTACAAATAATAAAATACCTAAATGGTTAATTACATTAGGTACCTATGTATGTATATCATTATATTTTAAACATACAAAAATAAATTTTTGACGGTCACTAAAAGTTAATTTTGATTTGATGATGTTATGATGTGTATGAACTCTAATTCTGTCGATTTGATAAAGAATTGTAGTGGAAATGTACATTATGCGAGTAAAATCACGTTTCCCTGCTTTTTATTTAAGACTCTATTGTAGATTTGTATAAAGTACATTATTACTAAACAATAGTGAGTTAGTGCGTTGTACATACAGGGTTACCTATCACTCAGAGTGCGTAGACAGAGTAACCCTAATGTTATTCCAACGTTAATCTTATGACTAAGCATTAAGAGAGGGCGAATGAGAACATTATAACAGCGTCGTCACAGGTAATGTAATTGATGTACCATTTCAGGACCGCCTGTGGATGTGGGAGTCACCATGTACGTGCTCTCCATCAGCTCCTTATCTGAAGTGAAAATGGTATTTACAGCTGCAAAACTACTTTTACGTAGATTGTCATTTTTAGAACAAAAAATGACATAACAGCGTTTAGGTTAGCGGCCCTCGATCGAGCTATGGAATATTTTTGTAAAACTTTGTTGAAACGATTCATCCTACGTTCAATCGAGGGTCTCGGGGCGTCACGTCACCGTCCTCTGGTTTGGTTTTCACGGCGCGAGGCGCTCGCGCGACTCACCATTGGGCTTGATTGCAGGTCCGCCAGTGGAGGTGGGCGTCACCATGTATGTGCTCTCTATCAGCTCCGTCTCCGAAGTGCTCATGGTACTCGCCACTGTCAGCTCACGCTTGTCTCGGTCGCTCCGGCCGCGCGCTGCGCCGCTGCGACCGAGCAGCCCCAGACACGAGGCTGCGAGCATGCCGGCGTTATGGAGCCGACCACCCGGACGGCAAAGCACCTCCCACTGTAGCTCTTCTTTTAATCAAATCAATATTTTGGACGTGCGCACTGTCGCGTATTTATTTTACTATAGTGGAGTGCCCCTCCGGGTGCGTCTTCAAAAGACATACTAAAATGTTACCTTGCCATTAAGCATCCCTCAAAGCAAAGACACTGTCGCAAAATTTGCTCCATCTTGTTGTTATTTTAAGCTTTTTATGTTCTTGAGGTATTTGTTGTGACTGTGGGTTTCTTACTATTGTATCTTTGAATGGTGTCTTACACCTCGGATACATCACTTGCCTTTTCTTACTTTAGTAGTCTTGCTGTGAGTGTATTTCGTGTTTGTACTGTGATCCAGTAAGTTCCTGTCTGACAAGATAATTTGGAAATTTACTGCAACAATTCCATCTTTTTATTTGTTTCACACGAAATCTATAATTGAGATTTGAATTTTTGAGTAAAGACAGTATTAGAAGGGCTATGTTAACTTCTGATACACGGTTTTCCACAAAATCGATGAAATGTTGTGAGGTCTAGTGCGTGCTTAATGGCTCTTGTCGTATATACGAAGGCAAGTAAGAATAAATGAAATCACAAAACAATGATTCTAAAATTTCGTAAACCAAGCCGCCGATACCTTTGATGACGGTTCCAAAGTACGACGTCAAACTAAGACCAGGGTGTATGACCCCTAGTGGAAACCAAATCAAGGGGACTCTGAAAGTCACTCTAGGACGTGACCCCACCCGGATACTAGATATAGACATACCTAGTTATAGTGAAAGTACACGTACCAGTACACCTACACGTGGTATGAGTACAGTTGACAACCTTCCATGACCATCTAATGAACTATTTGAAAGAATTCACTTTCTTGTGAAGTGGTTTTGTGTACCTACTTATTTCGCTTTTCTCTTTACACATTCGCTTTGCAATATAAGTAATACTCTTACGTGTACTTTACTGTGTAAAACATTAATATGTGAATATTCCATATTAATAATTTACACATCTACCAATACCAATGTTTTCTTAAATGAGGTTATGTCTCTCAATATTTCGTTGGGTATAATTATAAGGTCAGTGCACTTTGCAATATTATTATTGACCAAACTGCCCTCAATATTGTATCTCAGAACCATTCATGTTTACTGATTGGTCATTATGCAATTATGGATTCACCTTGTAATTATATTTTCCTATATTGGTTGTGTAAATAATTTAATGATTGATCAAAAATAATAAGTATTTAATAAAGCGTAGTATACTTACAGTGAATTTAAATTAATAGAATATTTTTAAAAACAATTCATTATCCTCAATGGCAGATAAAAGGAAAGAGGCATTTAAAGTTTGCCTTTGACTTAAGACAAGGTGCACAGTTGCCGGTGCATTCAATAGATCCAACCTATCTTGATAATTTTCATAAAACAATAATGCACACAATAGTAATGCTTAACCTGAAGAAACCTCAACTTAACATTCAGTTAAATCATATAAGTGTGGTGAATGTTACTCACATTCACTTGCTCAAATTTCCTGACATTCGAATCGCACAGACAATGAATGCTTCCGGCGATAACGTTTTGTTGCATTCATTAAAGCAAATTAACATTTAAAGCAGGCGCCAAGCAAACCTACAAACGAGCAGCATTGCCAGATTACATCCATTGTTGTGCCAGTGTAAGTCAATCAAGTTCCTCTATTATTTACTACAACAATAGAAAATGTTTCAGGATTTCACCCTGGATTTCTACTTCAGACAGTTTTGGACAGACCCCAGGCTTGCTTACAAAAAAAGGACGGGTGTGGAGACACTTTCCGTCGGCTCAGAATTTATTAGAAACATATGGGTACCCGACACTTTCTTTGTTAACGAAAAACAGTCTTATTTCCACATCGCTACTACAAGCAACGAATTCATCCGCATTCATCATTCTGGATCTATTACTAGGAGTATAAGGTAAATACAGGAACACAATTTACTATGCATGTTGAAAGTCCTCTTCACGAGACCAACTGTTTCCATTGGTATTAACTATCTTAGGTATAGTAACAATGTTCTTGAATTCGGTTTCAAATTCTCTGATCGCTTTCATATGTATATTGTTTATACAATCTATGCATATATGTTCAACACAATTAGTCCCGATAACATTTTGCTATCCGTGATTTCCTTCGCCATGTGGGTAATCACGTACCAATCAGCAATCAATTATTGTATCTGATGTGCAGGCCGAGGCTAATCCTTATTAACAACTAAGACGTCCGATCACGTTCGATGTTAGCACGTAGTTGGATAAATTAGTTGATGCCCATCACGACAGTTAAAACCTCGTATCTCGAGTTAGCCGTTAGCTCTAAATCCACAATAATCAGTAGTTTATTCAAACTCAATTTTACCATAATTATCTTTAAGACTCTATGTAAATATTCAGAGTAGAAGTTTGGAAGTAGATGGTCTCAGGTGGACGACGATAAACCACATGTACAATATTATTGATACATGTATTGGCTTTTCTAAACAGCTTGCACTTGTTCACAGACTGACTATCACCGCTTCTTGTCCAATGGATCTGCAATACTTTCCGATGGACCGTCAATTATGCAATATTGAAATCGAAAGTTGTGAGTTGGATGCACTTGAATAATATTTTTGGCTTATGGCCCAATCGGCCTATTTTATCACCTCTAGCTGATCATTGCCTTTGATGTAAATGTAACATTGGAACAGCATTTGTATATAACACTCCGTATAAATGCACCGGGGCAGGGGGGCAGTGATACAGTTCCAATTAACAAAATAATTCCGCCTTTATATACCATATCATCACGTCCTTTGTTTTATGAGACATGGACGTGCTTTAAATAAATATGAATAACATCATTTTATTACTTGAGCAGCAGACTCATGACGCTTTCAAGTTCGGTAGATGAAGTCTAAAACTAAAAGTTTATAAAACGCTTAAGAACTTGCACTACCGTCGCCGTTATATGGCGAAGCAGTTAACCTAACATTTGTCACCCACGGTAGCTATTAATTCATTCACCTTATACAGATATTAAGAAACCCCAGTGCAATGGGTGCTTATTTTATCGTTCCATATCTCTGCATGGTACAGTCGGCTACACCATGCGGGACATCCGATACAAGTGGAACGAGGGGCCCAACTCAGTGGGCGTGTCGAGCGAAGTGTCCTTGCCGCAATTCAAGGTGCTGGGCCATCGGCAGCGAGCCATGGAGATTTCTCTTACGACAGGTATACAGCACCGATGAAACATTTTAAAATTTGCCGACAACCGAACGTCGCTTCTTTTTCTTTACTCCTAAATTGACACCTGCATGCATTCGCTTCTGCCAGACATCCACCCAACCATCAGTTACTTTCCTTTAATGACCTGGTAAAGCTAAATCGATATTTGACTTCGATTTGTCCAACCATATTTGGAATTCTGCTGATCACGTTTATGAAATGTATTACATCGATTGTTTAAATGTGTACTTTGATTGCAGGAAACTACTCACGACTGGCATGCGAAATCCAATTTGTCCGATCAATGGGATACTACTTAATCCAGATATACATTCCATCTGGCCTAATTGTAATTATATCTTGGGTATCATTCTGGTTGAACCGAAATGCGACACCTGCTAGGGTATCACTAGGTGTCACCACTGTGCTCACGATGACTACGCTCATGTCATCCACGAACGCGGCTCTGCCCAAGATCTCATATGTCAAGTCTATCGATGTCTACTTGGGAACTTGCTTCGTCATGGTCTTCGCCAGTCTTCTAGGTAACAATACATGGAAGGATGTTAAAAATAAAATATAGTAATGTAACATAAAAACATATTTACATAAGTTTAACTCTAATCATGTTTTGATACTTCTGCACTTTTTATATTTTGTATAATATTTTTATTAGCAAAGAAGTATTGCGGTTATGAGTGAATTTCCTGCGTAATTTGCTCAGCGATATTACATTGGAAACGAAAGTGAGTATTTACAGAAATATTTGGTTGCAGAATATGCTACTGTCGGCTATATGGCTAAAAGGATACAGATGAGGAAACAAAGATTCACCGCTGTTCAGAAAATGGCTGCTGAGAAGAAAATGCAAATAGATGGACCACCAGGTACATCGGAGCCTTTACCACCACCAAGGACAAGCACGCTAACCAGGCCACCACCACCGAGTAGATCTTCAGTAAGTGTTTTATGGCAATGCGATTAATGTATACGTAATTATTTTGGTATCGTTCCCTTTACTAATTACACCCATTCATTCAGGAGGTCCGATTCAAAGTTCATGACCCGAAAGCGTATTCCAAGGGCGGCACCTTAGAAAATACTATCAATGGATCTCGAGGCCCTGCTCCTGCACCGGTACCTGCAGCCCCGCAGCCTGACGAAGAAGCTGGACCACCTCCGCACCTCATTCATGCGTCAAAGGTACACTATATCTGCTTACTAATCACAGTAAACGTGTCTAAATGGCGACGGTTTCACTTTGTGTTGCGTTTGCGAGATGCAAATGTTATGCATTGCGATCGATGCGAATTCTGTTCTGCGAACTGATTTAGCTTGCTAAGTAAAACATTAATGATCGAAGTTAAGGAGAATGATATTTACAGGGTATCAACAAACTGCTCGGAACGACACCTTCGGACATCGACAAGTACTCTCGCATCGTGTTCCCCGTATGCTTCGTTTGCTTTAACCTAATGTACTGGATCATATACCTCCATGTCTCCGACGTTGTGGCCGACGACTTGGTGTTACTAGGCGAAGAAAACTAATTTCCCTTCAATAAACTATACTTACCGGACTTGTTCAAACTTAGGGTGCTCATTATCAACCATCCATCAAGTTTCGGTAATGCGCTTTGGAACCTAGAAACGCTCGATAATCTATTAGCGTTCTGTAACCTTATAAATATAATAAATAAACATCACTATGATTATAATAGACACGTGTCGCGTATATTGACACTGGTAATATTGAATTCTTTAGAAAATAGAGATAATATAAAGTTCAAAATATAAGTCAATCTGTCTAAGAGACAAAATGTTATATCTTCAATAGTTATCAGTCTTAAATAAATGTGTATGTATACATGAAAATGCGCAGTTATAAAGTAATTTACATTTTATTGAATTAAATTAGTTTTTAATAAGAATCCAAGTTTATATACAAATTAATAATTGCAAATCTAAGCGCTTTTTATTGCTAACTTCACATGATGGCTGTCTTTACTTCTCTAGTTGATTAAGTAGCGATTTTATAGAGTATATATCACGAATTACATTGAAAAGTATACACTGAGTGGACAGACGCATTTTTCAATTGTATCAATCTGTAGATTGTCACGATGATCGGCGAGGCATTGGAATGATAAACACAAAACATAGGATTTGCAATCACTCATTTTTAAATCCCTACATCCCAACTATAATATGAAAGAATAACCATTTAACTAATAAATCTAGTAAATTATCTAAAAAAAGATTTAGACTTTTCGATTAACACAACAGTATTAACAATTGTATATCTAGGTACATTCCACCGTAAAATATTACATTCTTCATTTATTTAGATGATGCTGATGTTTTAGTACATCATTTGCCCGAATTATCAAATGTATTTCAAACATTAGTAAAGCAACTACAACACACTAAAGGTTACAGGGACTTTGTACTGTTTGACGACCATTGGTGTTTAAGAAGTTGGACCACAGTCCCTCACCTATAGTGCCACTTCATACCAACACTACTCATAAATCTATGAATTTGAAATTAGCGCGCATCATTAGGTACTATAAAGAAAAAAAGAACTAAAATAAAAGAAGGAATTTGAATAGGACTTGATACCATATTTACGAACACGAGTCCTTTATGGGGGCAAGATGTAAATAATTATACATAATATTATATTTATACGATTAGGGTACACATACACGATTGCTCTAGTTTTTTAAAAAAAACTTATTCGGTTCAATTTAACATGTATACACCGGTAATACACTTCAAATTAAATCTAGTGCACAGAACACTTTTTCTACGTAGTTTAAAAATTTACATGTATTAATTGAATGTAATGTATTAGATCTGACGGATTGACATGACATGTGTCATGTTCTTAAGATTAAGATTGGTTCATCGATCTTCATTTCTTACTTCTCGGTCTTAATCAACGTTGAATATTGATCGGGTTTCTGTTATATCTACGTATTACGCGGGTGGCTTGGTGAGATCTTTGTAATGTACGACTTTACAAGTATTTCGTAAGTACAATAAATGATAAGGATGGAAGAAGCAAGGGAGAGGAGAGTACCGGTAAAGAGCTGTGACTATTCTAAGTTTTGATCTCACAATTAAATGAAAATATACATAAACTTAGAGAATTAAACTTACTAATAATGTAAAAGGGAAACAATTCTTAGTTGGATTTGTGCTCATAGAGGCTTGTAGATGTTTTATTGATATTGTTTATACTTACGTATTCCAATTTAATTGGGAAGACATTTTCCCAAATTTCGTTTTATACGATACTTCCTTGTTGTGACTCCAGTTTTTAGATATTTACAATAATATCATTTTGGAGTATTTTAAGATTTGAGCTACAAGCCATTTCTTGTTAGAGAAATCCCTTATTATTTATTTCTGAATTTGCTCAACGTTTTTCAAAGACACTATTTATAAATATGTATAAGGGAGTGCAAATAGTTGATTTGACTAGGAAATGTAATAAATAGGTTAGGTAGTCATATTTTTAAGTAATTATAATTTGCCTCCTATTTTATACCCACATTCTCAGACTGTGCATTAAGACTAGCGTTCATAAATTGTATCATTTAGAAAGTCTATTTCTGTTCTAAAGATATTTAAATTTATTTAAAATACAATTAATCCTAACAATTGTATAAAGACTGAGTCAATATTCTTTTAGTTCCTCATATTTACAGCTATAATAAACATGACAGCCATCTATAAGTTCCCTTGATTACGTAAGTTCTTCCGTTTCTAGATACTGCATAAACTAAAAATTATAAAAATAAATAAAAAAATCTATTGCATTTACTATCATGAGATAGTGAAATAAAGATTCTGTTCTAAAATATATATATATTTATACATATATATAATGACGATATGTTTATAATTAGTAGTTACAATCAGCCAAAATCGATAAGTATATCTTTAACGATTAACTATTAGTCGACCTTCAAATGAACTATGGATTAAATGTACATGATTATGAAAAAAAAAATATGTAAGATGTGAAATTCGCATTATATTGCACCTAGTTAGTAAGTGAGTAGCGTAGCTTAGCGTACGAGGGAGCGGGCGAGGCGAGCGGAAGGGGATGGCCACAGTTTACTTAGTAAAAGTTTCGAAGTTGGTGAATAGCGGCAGCGGGCCAAGTTATTGGCACGACTACTCTTGCTAAGCGGTGACGCGCGAGCCTCTCTCCGCTCGATTCCAATCTAAACTGCATTCTCTCTACACTACTACTACGTACACTGAAACATCTACCGCCTTAGAGCATTCATTAACGCTCCAAGTCTAGCGCGCATTGCCCGCAAACCTCTTTCGCGAAACCAAATTCTAAATCACATTTAAATAAAATCTAGCATAATTAAAAAAAAAAATTATACTGTGTGAGTAAAATCAATCTAGAAAACTAAGATGATGATGATAATTTATTATGATATAGGTATCAAATAAAATTTCAATAATATTAATATATATTATATTATCACGTTTCCCAAATTAGTCTACCTACTCTCGTATAACTGAACCACGGTGAAACATTTCGTTGCACTAGCAAAAGTAATTAATTACCTACTAACTTACACTTGTCAAATATTATGAAGATTTCTTGCTGAGATTTTAGGGACCGGCAAGTGACTTCGTGTTCAGACGAATTAATAAATAGTAGTGAATGAGTTTTAAAATCATCCATATAAACAAAGGCTGTCGAAAGTAAATATTCTAAACTAATTCTGACTATTTTAAATTATTGTATTAAGCAACAAGCATGAATCACCGTCACTTGCGCGTGCGCTTGTAGGTGGCGCTCTGAGTACTTTGTAATTTATTGTTACTTTGCTGCACATTCGGGTTTTGGGCCTGCAAGAAGCACATGCGTTCAAATGGTTTTACATAGGGTTATACTTAATATGTAGATATTACGTACACTCATAACTATTGGCACTTGATTTCAAAGTATATCTGCATTATAGAAGCATATATTTATACATACATATAAAATATTAATAAATAAAGAATAGGAAATGCAGACTTGAATAGTGCCAAATGCGAGGCTTTAAAATTTTATTATTCGCTTTTTATTACGAATGTATTTCTACCACATCTGTTTTAATATAATAAATAATAACTGTCAATGTCGTTAGATATTTCGTATTTGTGTTTTAAATGAAGTATACCCTAGTACGAGTAATAGATGACCCCTGTAACTTTGAGCAAAGGTTTGTTGTTAAACACGAGTTTGTATACCACTTTTGTAAATAAAATCCAACGGATCTGTCCTACGAGGAATCACTTTTGCAGACAGTGTAATGTATCGCAGTTACTTGAAATACATATATCTCGACGCTGATTTCTTTACCTGTAGTTGTATTAAAGTGTTTCGTAATAAGATTTGAAATTTTTGAGGCATATCATGTGTTAGAATTTATTATGCTGTTTCTTTGTTATGTAATTTAATATCCTCTGCACATTCATTTATGTGTCAGTGCTTGTGAAAATATTTTATCTATACATAAGAGCATATTTAATGTATTTCGACGCTGTTTTCGGACATTGATTGAATATTTTCATAAGTTACATACATTGTGATTGCACGTTAAAGTATGTTCATGTAATTATATTGAGCTTCTTCGTGTTTTATGAACCTGTGTATATTTTATTGAGAATTGTATCAGTGTTAAGTAGTCTTTCGTTATCATTATAATGTAAGAAAAATAAATTAAAAATATCCAGCTAATTATAGTTTTGGTGTTCTTAACGTTCGAAACTATTAAGTGTTATTTATTAAAAATATTTTGTTTCTACTTACTGGTAAAAATCAGTTACTACTAAGTATATGAATATTTCTTCGACCAAAATATTTATGACAATAATTAATAAACCATTTACCTAATAAAACGTCAGTGTGTCAACATCGAATCGCTTGAACTTAGAAAGTTAAAGATCTATGCTGCCGTCGTAAACAAACGAGTACCAACGTTGTTACAAGTCAGTAGTAACAAACAATAATTTATTTATACAAATATCAATTAATATTTCTACTGCACGCCAGTTACTAAACAGCTGGTGATAGGTAGCCCAAAACGAATTTATGCAGACCAGGTTAATGAATTACTGGCTGCCATATTTACGTACGTAGTTGCTGAGAACCCAGAATTTACGGAAAAGGATTGAGTATCTTCAATCCTCTCAATAAATACCAACTAACTGGAAACTATTGTCTATTAATCAATGTTGTGAGACAATAATTAATCAATTATACTTTCTGGTCTAAAGAACGGACATGAAAAAGCAACATTCCCTAATACGATCACAATATGGCATAAACACGACCGATCCCTATAATAAGGCCCTGGCCACACAAACTGAAGAGGTTGTAATTCTAAGTTTTTTGGACATGACTGTGCAGTTTTACATTACACCGTCCGTTTCTTGGAATATCATACTTTAGAATTTCAGCAGAATATATATACCTTACAGCTTTAACTAGTTAATACCTAATAGACCTATGTTTTTGCTCGTTAAAATAATACCAAAATTCTAAAATATTCAATTCAAATATTCTATTAAGTATATAATTTAAGTACATTCAGTAGAAGTTGTGTATACACTTAGTTCGTTCGAAGTTACATGCAAAGAGTGCAGTTTTGATTTGATGTTTGTGTTCATATAATAATAAATAAAATTCATTCATTTTTTTTTTCATTCAATGGTTTTTTAGTCCCTTCCTTAGTAATAGTTTTCGGAATAAAATTTACGTGACTAAGGAGTAGTTGAAGTTATCACTAAATATCTCTGAGTGCGCCAGTTAGTTAAACAAGTCTGAAATCTTTTAATACACAATATGTTTTAAAAGGAGGATGTATCAAATAGTTCATTAAGACCACCGTGACACAGCTTAGATGCACTCACCTGCACGAGATTAAGCGTATATACAGTTCTACTGATTACACAAAGTTTGTAACTCGGCCAGATAGTATTTTGTATTCCCTTAAATGAATACACTTATTTCTCTAACGTGCTGTCTGCAGTGCTTCGCTTCCACAAAAATATATCTAATATTATAATGAAACTGACGTAACAGATTCTAAATATTTATAAAATATATGGTTTGTTATTGTTTGAGGCTGAAAGTTTTGAAACTCTCGAACATTATGTACTTATTGTCTAACAACGTGTTGTGTCAATGTATAAATAAAGAAGTTGTGTAATTTATTTAATTTATTGAGATGTATATCTAAGTTGAATATGTAACTAATGAATCTTCCTCGATGCAAAACTAAATTTTATGGTATTGGTGTGGTTAATGATGTTGCTCAAACTGAATAACTTTAAAAGAAGTAGTTACATTGTACGAAATTTAGTTCTGTGATCCGATAAATTATAATATATGATCTGTATTGTCGTTTTATTTTGATCAAAGGTCCTTTGAACAATACTACCTTACTGCTGAGAGGGTTGGTCAAGGATTTGATCTATCAGATTACTGCTCTCCAAGATTGTTGGCTATGATTGGTGTTTCCACATGCCGACCACATGTACCTACCTAAGCTGAATGGCAACATACATATTGTGGGAATAATACTGATTAAATTAGAACAAAGCATACCATAGCAATATTAATCTTGTTTAGGAAAATAGATGCCACATACATTTCCTTATGAAGTTTAAACTGTTTATGTATACAAATAGTTGAACCCTGTTAAAAAGACACAGGTTTTAAAGTGTGCATATAATACGCAACGTAATCAAACGCATTACAGATTGCACATGCGCTAATATTAAAATTGAACATACCTTTAAAGAAAAAAAAAACGAAACGAAGAAGAAAAAAATATTACTAAAATGAAGAAAAGAAAATCGTTTTCCAAAAACATTATTAAAGTTAGAATCAAATAGGTACTAAATATTCTAACTCATTTGTGTACTCTAAGGTGTTACGGGTTATGCGCAATGAGGCACCGCGACCTCGGCTCAGAGCAGGAGAAGGAACAGGGGGGTTTTTAGTCAGTAAGATTTTAACACTCCCTCCCGCTCGCCGTGGGCGGGAGAAGTCATTTCATGATTTTCCCCTCACAAAAAAGGTGTTAAGAATACAAATTATTTTTTAATAAAATTCTGGGTTTGTAAGATGTTTTTAGTAATAATTTAATCAGATTATATTCTCAGAATCTGTAAGAAAGTATCTTTATTACAGTTCAGGCTGTTTCAGTTCAGTTGTCAATCGATATTGTACTTACATATGGTACAAACATAACATAGAGTTGCATACACTAAGTATCCATACATTTATTTATCATTCCTACTTCTCCCGCGAGAGTGCCTACAAAGAGAATACGTTGCATAGGTGACAGCAGCGCTCTCAGATACACCTGCATTTTAAACCGAGACCTTCAACCCGCCTGTCTACTTTAGACATTATGGAAAACAAGTCAAGGTCTATGTAGTCCCACAGATAGAAACGAGCAAGGGTACCTTACCAGCCGACCAATACCAGGCCCGAGCGTACGGCGCGTAGATCTCCTCGCGCGCCTCAAGGAGCCAATAGACCACCACAAGACCGGGGCCGGTTTAGCCAGGGCAAGCGTAAAATAAGGCGGCCTCTGCGGCCCGCGGCCTCTGAAAAGAACGGAAACATTTTTAGTATGTAAACTCTGAGAGGAGTTACTTTATGATAAACAAGCACACACATTTATCTTATATCAATTTATTTACTTATATAGAAAAATCTCGTAGGTTGCACTATATTGAGGCAAACTAGATCCCTTTCAAACGTAAAATGACTTTCTAAACTCACAAATCTGCACTTTACTTTTTGCTCTGCCTTCAAAAGGATCTGCGGAACACGAAAAGTTTTAAAGATTTCAAGTTCCCAAGCGCTGCCTTGCAGAGTTTTGAACTAAAGCCTGAAATTCTATGCAGAATACCAAAATTATTGACGTAAAATTTTATTTGAAACTATTGCAAGAACTTAGTAGATACACAATTTGCTAACATGGACTATTATTGCGGATATATTTCGCGATATTATTATACCTATAATATACAAGTAAGAATTTTCTTTTAAAATAATCCTAACCTTTTTATCAAACTATTTTTTCAATCAATATTTTAGTCATAATTAATAACTTGAAGACGTCTCGGATTCAGAAGAATTGTGTACCTAAGTACATAATTTACACTTGATTAATTTAATAAAGTCTACATACAAAAAGATGCTCTTTCAAAGTCTCTCAGTGTAACTATGTTAGTACATACCTATTAGTGATACCAACATTGTAGGTACACAAATATATGAATGTGTGGGAGTATTTCTTGTGACCTATAACAGAATAATCCGATAAAAGCGTGTAATAGTACATAATAAACAAACTACCATGATTTTCTTCGAGATTTTGTGCCTAAAAGGGCCAATGTAGAGATTAAGAGGTTCGTGACTAAATTACAGTCGCGTGGATCAATTTCACTTAGTGTAGATACGCTTTGCAAGGCTGCGGAGAAATCTGGATTCCCTCGACCTCGTACGGACAACTTATGTACATACGTATGTTTGAGAATGAAGATTATCGTCCAAGAGATATAATTGGCTGTGTTTGAATTCCGACGAGATAATAATATAATAGATTACTTCGCCAACGAGACCTTCCCAGCAACAAGACTATTAATACCATTGAACTAATTAGCACTTGTGTAAAGACGAAGTAAGATTTCGCCCCAAAGTAAAAAGGGTAAGCCGTGGGTTAATAGACGATGCGATTATATAATAATACGAAATAGTTTCCTGGCTTTAGGTTTGTAACTTATTTGCAATGCACAATCTTAATGTTTTCCTTCTTAAAATAGTAACCATTTAAACGGCTTACTGCTTCCAAATCATTCCACCTTATTTGAGTTAAAGAATTCATAAATATAAAGCAGGAACTGCTGCTCTTTTATAAACAACAAAAAATATGGTCTCTATAACAAAAAATGTAAATACTTATAAACAAAATAATATAGATATAATTATATAAAAATCAATAATTTTTTTACATCATTCACTTATGGACACACGGCATCAGAAAGTAGAGTAAGATGTAACATTTAAAATGGAAATATTAGAAAGATCTAGGTAATATTAAAACTGTTCAGTAACTACGTATTAGAAGTAAGCCTGCTTGAGCACGGAGCTCAGCATAATCGCAGCGTGTGATGCGCGCAAAAGAAGGGCAATTGCATCGAGCATTGAGTACGTAATCTTCAAACAAGTTCCGACACAAAGCTTGAGCGAGCGTGCGAGATCTACACTACGCTTTGTGAACGAGCTGAAGGGAAAGGCTGATATGCGCATATATATGTACATATAATGTCTAATAACCTCATTTTAAAACTTTTCCCATGGAAAATATTCGATAAAACCGAGTAAACCTTTAACGGTTCAGGAATTGGCTATTTAGAAAAATAGTTTTTTATTGTCGTCACACTAAATTAATAAAATAAAGCAATGAAACAATTAATAATTGATTTCATACTTTTGCTTTTTATACTCTTACGATTTCTATAGAAGGAGCCTAATCTCGCCGTCTCAACACAAACCTGATAGACCTGTACAAAAATGATAGAAAACTTCGTATTTTAAAATTAGAAAATAAGTAATTAATTTGATGTCATGGCAAGTATTCAATCGAACCAAGGAGCTTTTTTGTGAGGGGAATATCATCAAATGACTTCTTCCGCCCAAGGTCGGGCGGGATTATCAGACTCTTACTGAATAAAAACGCCTTCGTTCCTTCTCCTGCTTTGGGACTGAGAGGCCCGGGTGACTCATTCATTGTCCTTATCCGGCAACCCCGGCTGAACATCAGCCCTATAGGGCCCCGTTTATGGTGGTCTATTGTGGTCTCTTTTAGGCGCGCGCAAAACTCGTCGCGTCTGCTCGGGTCTGGTTCTGGTTTTGGTTGGGCGGCGAGCTACCCTAACTCGGCGTCCGCAGACATGCGCTTACGGTGGCCGAAGATCGTCTCTCGGAACCAAGGATCTTAAGATTTATAAGAATACCATAACGTTCCGAACCGATATGACCTTTAAACCTGCAAGAAAAGTGTGAAAACGTTAGATGTTTTCTTAGATCTTAAATGGAATGAAATCAATAGAAAGTTCATGGCTTCAAAATGCATATCAGTGATTTATTAGAAAATCTCTTGTTTCGAGATCCGTAGGATGAACTTTATAATTTCCTGTCGAATACACCCACTCGTTATTACATACAGAAATCTTGAACAAACTTAAGAAAGGAGCGCGATTCATCTTCATAACACTATTAGGAATATAAGTAAGTAAGTAGCTCTGTAATCTAATCTGTAGTAAAAGCTCTGAAAATATTTCGTTACTTCGTCTACATAATAATATCCTCAGTCCTACATTAAACCTACTAACACAAACATTATACATCATATAAATTAGGTATCACAAAACAGTTTCGAAATGCTATTTTGGAAATTCAAAAATCAAAAAACATTCAAAAAACGAAAATAGTATCTTATACGTTGTTGATGGCGCGGCGGTTTATGCTCGCTTTCCATGCATAACAGTGCGGGTTCGAAATCTGGCAAATACCAATGTAACTTTTCTTGAGTTATATGTACTTTCCGTGATTATTTAGCCTAGCCACTAGTCTACGGTCAACGAAAACATCGTGATTAACGCTCAAACCTTCTTCGTGTCAGAAGAGGCATTTTCTCAGCAGTTGGCACTTATAGGTTGATTATGTAATGCATTCTTAATCGGAAAGAGAGTGTTAACTTCACCTAAACTTTCAGGAATTTCATGAACATTTGTTCTCTGAGTTGAGTTGTAAATTCAGTAAAAGATTATCATGAAATCCGTATACATTAAAATGGAAACCACAGTCTAGAGTCACGGTCATGTATTGAACAAAAAGGCAGCATGAATAAAGCCTCTATCATTGACAATCCCTTTGACCGTGATAAAATATTGGATTGCCTTTCATATTCCAATGGCACTCGACGTTGACATTGACATTTAACATTGACATTCAACCGTGCAACGTAATGGCAACATTGTTCTGCATTTCTGTTTTCACTACCCGGTGAAAATAAACAAAAGTAATATTTATTTTAATACACACACACACTTGTGCGCCTATGTTTGAGTAAGAGCGCGCCCACGCTCGCTCCCACGTTGCTACTCTTTCATACTGTGCTCGGAATGCTAGTGCAACTCATTTCTAATTTATATATTTTATCAACCGAGTTAGAAACCCGGCAAATAGTTTTATTAAACGAACATTTTGTCATGCTTCCTTTACTTTGTGTAAATTGTATACCGCCTACACGCGCGTATTAATTTGTTCGTAGAATTTATTATTTTCTCTATAACTGGTGTAGGGGCTGAATGATAAACATTTCGCGTCGACAAAAGTACCAATTAGGTTAATGAATTTGAAACCTCTAAGCTTATTATATTATGGTAATGGGAAATCCATAACGATAGGGTTATTAATGAAATTGACCTAAATTGCAACGACAACGAATATAGATATATTTTCAAATGTAGGTAATATGAAGTTTATAAAGGTTCCAGGTAACTTAGCAGAGAGGGAAATAAGGCAATATCAGTTGCATTACAATATCCGAGTAACGAGTATGTTCGAGTGCACATACAACGACATATTGAGTCGGCAACTAATATTGAAGTTTCACAATATTCATTTTTATCCGTTCATGTGCCGAGTCAAGTTTTCTTGGAAAAGTGTCACAAACCCTTTGGTGTTGCTGTTGCAGACAACTTCAATTTCCGATTGATTTTATCTTAAAAGTGGGAACATCTTTCATTGCATTTTGAGAAATGAAGTAACGTGTGAGAAATTATAATGCGATAGTTCAGCATGTACGTTGGACACGTTTATCATAATAGTATGGCGGCCGTGTATCAGACGGCACGGCGTCTCTCACTTTTTAGAACCGATGAGCAAAATTGCTATTATACTTAAAACTTTTGATGGCAGCGGTAAGACTCTTTTTTGAGGAGTGGCTGGAGATACGCCATGGCGTTCTCACCATTCACCTAATGCAGGTGTTAACCGGGCACAGCAACTTCGGTAAGTTTCTGTTTCAGTTCTGATGGGAAGCAACGACCAGGTGTCGTCATTGTGAGGATCACCCAGATGACACCGGATAGCATACGGTGGTGGTGTACCTGCTTGGGCTATGCACCGCACCGTGTCCTCAGGAAAGTGATCGTCGGCGGAGACCTTTCGCGCCCGTTTTTAGTCGAAGCCATGGTGCGAGTGTCATGGAGTGAGGAGAACTGGGAAGCCGCCTCCTCTTTCTGCGAAGTAGTCATGCTCGCAAACTAGAAGGCGGAGCGCGTAAGGGAATTATCCTCCACAGCCGCGGCAGTAGGTGACACTCTGGGCGTCGGTCACCGTAATCACGGGGTTGCGGAGCAAGTGCATAAGCTACCCTGGCCTCGGCCTAAAACATGAAAAGGAACGGGGGTTTTTAGTCAGTAAGCGTCTACCACTCCCTCTCGCCTCACCGATTAAGCAATTGAAAATTTGGTAAAAAATCAAAAAAAGTGCATAAGAAATCAATGTATGAAATGTATTTTTTTATATA